CACTAACTCAATTTTTTCCAACAGAAACACTCGAACAAAAGCAATACACATTGGTGGAGGGAGTAACTAAAGATCAAATTTTTCAAAATCAATCACACACATTGAAATGCCATTTAATACATACAATATATTTGAAGGAATGATAAGGGAATAGCTGTGAGTGTATTCCTGAAGATTTCTTTCAACTTTCTCTAAAGATCGTTCGATCAGGAAATAATTTGGAATTGCACTTTCAAAATTAGCAGCTTAGAGTTGTATAAATAATCTTAGGAATGTGTGTTCAATGTAGAAATTTATAGATTGGACTTTTATGGAATTCGTGAACTTTTATTGACTTTTATATATTTCTAAAGAATTAATGGAAGTCGTTCATAGATTTCTACAGACTTTCTTTCATTTTAAAAAAAAAAATTGTAAACTATAATACAATCATTTGACATTTACAGACTTTCATTTTAGAAAATATCTTGTGTATAAAGTTATATGTCTACATAACTTGGTTGGTGCACATCCTTGTTCAATTGAACTATTTATTTATGAACTACAATGTAATACAATTATAACCACTACTTGCATGGCCAAATTATTCAGAACATATAGTAACAAAATTATATTTTCATGTCAATAAAAGTATTTTTTAAAAGAATATAAAAAAATAAGTCATTTCAGTTAGATAAATAATTATAATATTTCAATACTCTCTGATGAAAAAGAAAATAATGTTTAACATTATCAATATGTCCAAACCTTTAGAAAGTTATTAAATTAAACAAGCAACCAAATTGATTTCTTTTTCGTAGAAAAAAGGAAATGATGAAAAAGAAGAGAGCAAAAAGGAAATGGGAATATTAAAAAAAATAACAATAACATGAAGAGAGAGAAAAATATTGATGTTTTTGTATCATGACTACGACTTTTATAGTGCCTTTCTGAAATCCAAGGCTTGCACTTGTTACATCAATAAAGTTCAAATTAATATTAATGATTCATGCAGCCTCTTATCGTCTATTGAATTAATATAAATGACTAATCTTTAACATTGTGGAATCGGTAAATAAGTGTTCTAACATCTTAGACAAGAAGGAAAGACAAGGATAGTTAAGCTGGTAGAAGAGCATGAAAATGAAACACACTACTGCATTGGAATAATGCACACACCATAGGGGAATAGTAAAGACACAAAATTAACCTGCTTACAACAAAGTAGACAGAATAAGGCTTTGCCTGAATGGCAGTTTTTGTGAATCCGAGCTTATCAGCAGGCCAAAGTTCGTCCCCAAAGAAGCTGCTGGTGTAGAGCACCTGGTGGCTGGTCCCCAACTTTGAGTCCTGCTTTTGCAGCATTCCCGCCATTTTCCACACCCTGAATCAAAATATTCTTATTATAAATGATCTAAAAAGTATGGATATGGGTTTAACCACGTGTGACTTTCAAAGCGAGCATGACATGAACACATGGGGGCACTCCCGCTGGAAGTATACATTTATATATGTTAAATTTGTGTTTCAATACTTCTCAAGTTTTCGAAAAAATCATTCTTTAGCTTAGATTCTGAATTTTCCCAGTCCAAATCTTTTGAATGTATTTCCCTAGGGTCGGAAACTGGCTGTAATCTCAAGCCCCCTTTTCCTCACCAAACTTAAATATGAACTTATGCATATCTAAATGTGGAAATAGAATAAGAAATTACTCACAGTGATTATCCCTCCACCACCCGATTTTTGCCCCAAAGTCGGGCCCAATGGCTTGTCAACTTCAACCTCAATGTTCTTTGCAGCAGCAGTTCTGGCTGTAATCTCAAGCCCCCTTTTCCTCACATTTACACCACTGATCTTGCTCTCACAAACTAAAGAATTGAATGTAGCCTTTTTGGCATCTTGAACTGAAAGCCCCTGGAAACTGGTTTTCTGATTTCATTCAAGACTTTCATCAGACACAAAACCCGCATAATTTTCTTATATCAATAAAAAGAAATTAAAAGACACAGAACCCAGCAAAAAAACATACCAGGAATTGAGTCAATAAGTTTGAATTCGATTTGGCAGACGGGTTTCTGGTGAAGGCAGCAGAACAGGAAGAGGAGGCACCAACTGCTGACATTTTTTGGCTTTGCCGCACACAATTTCAAGTGAAAAATGAGAAAGTACTGTGTATGAGTGTGTATCCTGGGTGCAATCAAATTTGGACATATAAACACTTTGAGAGCTTGTTTGGGAGAGATTTTTGGGGAAAGAATTGATTTTAAATAGTGATATGATGGGAAATGTGTGGTTGAAAAAGAAGAAAAAAATTATTGATATGATGAAAAATATTATTTTATTGAAGAATG